ATGTCCTTATCGAGATCATCAATAAAGACGTTAAATAGAAATGGTCCCAGCACTGAGCCCTGAGGACACCACTAGTGACCAGCTGGATGTGAATCCATCAAGCACCACTCTTTGGGACCTTCCATCCAGCCAGGGCTTGATCCAGCAGATCCTGTGCTCATCCCCTCCGTGTGAAGCCCCATAGGGGGTGATGAGCGGCCGTAGGGGAGCATGTAGGGCTTCCCTCTCCTCCTGGGAGTCAACACTCCTGCTTAACTTGGTGTCATCTGCCAACTCGCTGATGATAGACCCGATGTCCTTATCGAGATCATCAATAAAGACGTTAAATAGAAATGGTCCCAGCACTGAGCCCTGAGGACACCACTAGTGACCAGCTGGATGTGAATCCAAACCCCCCCCCCCTTCCAGTGTCCCAGCAGGTTCCTGGTGATGCCACCACCCGGTGCCACCACGGCACGGCTGCTCCAGGCCGAGGTCACCGTCTGTCCTGGTGCCACCACATCACCAAGGTCACCATCTGTCCTGGTGCCACCACCCAGTGCCACCACATCACCAAGGTCACTGTCTGTCCTGGTGCCACCACCCAGTGCCACCACGTCATGGCTGCTCCAGGCTGAGGTCACCATCTTGTCCCGGTGCCACCACGTCACGGCTGCTCCAGGCCGAGGTCACCCTCTGTCCCCACGGCGTAGACCAACGCTGCTCCTTCCTCCTCCTCCTCCTCTTCCTCCCGGCAGATGATGGTGACGGTGCCGGGGGGATGTGGTGTCACCAGGTCTGGATCTTCCAGGCAGGCCTGGGAGAGGGACAGAGGGGACACGGGGAGGTCAACCAAGAGGGGTTCATGAAAGGGAGGTCCTGCTTGACCAACTTGATGTGTCACCCAACCGTGTCACCCAACTGTGTCACCTTCTGAGGAACCTGATGAAGTTCCACCAAGGGCAGGTGTAGGTGCTGCCCCTGGGGAGGAATCACCCCCCAAACCAGGACAGGGTGGGGGTGACCTGCTGGTGAAAGACCTGGGAGTCCTGGTGGACACCAAGATGCCCATGGGCCAGCAATGGGCCCTGGTGGCCAAGAAGGCCAATGGCATCCTGGGGGGCATCAGGAAGAGGGTGGAGAACCTCGAAGGAGGTCACCCTGCCCCTCTGCTCTGCCCTGGGGAGGCCCCAGCTGGAGCACTGGGACCAGTTCTGGGCTCCCCAGTTCCAGAAGGACAGGGAACTGCTGGAGAGGGGACAGCAGAGGCTACAGAGATGCTGAGGGGAGGAGAACATCTCTCTGGTGAAGAAAGGCTGAGGGACTTGGGGCTTTTGAGTCTGGAGAAGAGAAGGCTGAGGGGGGATCTGACCAACACCTATAAATACTTCAAGGGAGGGTGTCAGGAGGACGGGGCTGGTCTTTTTCCAGTGGTGCCCAGGGACAGGACAAGAGGAAATGGGCACAAACTTGAAC